ACAACGGCTCCTGAGGCCACACTGGCACAGGCCTAGTGGCCTGGTAAGACACGCTGTCTGCCTTGTAGGTCTGCAGCCCTGGGTGTAGCAGCCTTCCTTGTGCTGAGCATTCAGATCATTGGAGGAGAGTGAGGGAGCCAGAAGAGGTCTATCAAAGGATGACCTGCTTAAGTATTAATTAACGGTGCCAGGGAGGACCTGAAGATCTGATGCCAGGATGCTGGGCACTCCTGCCCTTTCTATTCATAATCCACATTAAGTTTCTGGGCAGGTATTTTGAGTTTCTGCTAATGTTTCCCAATAAGATTCTTTTGTTCTCACCATTAGGAAAATTGGCCTTCATTGGAGAAGAAAATGTTAATATGTTAGGCCTAGAAGCACAGAACCTGTCTGTAGTTCATGAGTCAATGCCAGTTCCCCAGTAGTTACCTTCCTGTCTTCAATCATGGACATTTCACCCAGCAGTTCTCCAACTCTGCTGTGCATCACCATTATTTGATGCATTTTAAAACCCCCGTATTTGATAGGCCTTGGTTGGGGCCTGAGAATTGGCATTTCTAACAAGTTCCCAGATGGTGCCGATGCCGATGCTGATGCTGGTGACCCAGGGACCACATGTTGAGGACCACTGTTGCAAATACTCTGAAATGTCAGTAGTGTTTAAGTAGACATTTGGTGATTTCTTCAATGACTTGTAACCTGGCCTTCAGTTTAGAACCCAAATGGGCTGGATTTAAGAAAGATGATGTTGTCCAAGAAAGTTAGTGGCTCCATACTTTTAAAAAAATGATTGCCATGTTTAAGTTTTGTTGCCCTGCGTCTGGCTGGCTGTTTGGAGTTAGCTGGTTCCAAAGGATGGAGTGTGTTACCATGGTGATGTCCTTCCCCATTTAGGAAGGCCCCAGAGGTCTGTCCTCCGCAACTGACCGGGCGTTTTTTCATGGCTTTTCCCCAGGGGGTGCTGCAGGGTTCCACGCCATCACTCCTGGTGGTTGTTTCCAGGAAGCTGGGGACAGTCAGGAGGCTCCAGGCCCCCTCTTTATCCAACCTGTAAATGAAGCGCGCTTCCTTTGTCAATCCAAGGCCCAGTGTGCTGAGGACAGTGGATTAGATTAAGCTCATTCGGGCACAAAGCAGAAGTGGCTGGCAGGAGCATCCCAAGGCTGTGAGGAAGGTGCTTTCTGCTCCCTTAATTAGCAGCTCTGGCCTTGGAGAGCTGTGTCTGGTTTCTCAGCTCGGTAAGGCATGCCTCTCCTAAAGCATTTAGCATGAAGGTTATTACCTCTATGGATGCAGGGCATGGCAGAGACGTCTGTGGCATGTGACTGCCATGGGATTTCTTTGTTCTCCTGCCAGGGTTCTCCTTGAAGGCCACACAGATATCCTGGTGTTCTTCCCTTAGGGTATAGCACACATGGTGACCAGGTGGCCACAGCTCAGCAGAGGACAGTTCAAGGTGTGGCTCTGCATACCTGGTGTGGGGTTGAGCTCTGGCTGCTACAGGCCCTCTCCTTTCCTGTGTACATCTCGGCGGTTGGGATAGGCCAGTCACGGGACCTGGGTTTGAACATCTGGGGACATCACAATCAGTTGTTACACAGGGGACTACTACGAATGCCCCCCTGAAGTATTTCTCTGGGATAACTTTACAGTCCCACTGGACTAGGTGCAAAGCTGTTTGTTACCTGAGTCCGCTCAAGAATGGAGGTGGGAAGCTGGGACGGACACAGGACAGGCAACTGGGCCTGTCCCACTGTTTAATCTGGTTTGGTCAGTCACACCTTGACCTTAGGAAAGCTCATCCTAAGTTTGTGTGACAGCCTTAGTATGTAATTTAGGACTTGCAGAAGACTCTGCGTCTCCTTTTGGGGTGGGCGTTACCTCGGGGGACATGTTCTGCAGCCTGAATAGAGGGCCAGAGATAAAAGCAGATTCCTAAACATAAAATGTTCAAACTCAATGGGTCTGAAGAGAAAAGACAGGCATTTACAAGCTTACATGGGACAAATGCCTGATGTACGTTCTTACATGATCTTTGGAACATCCAGCTAGGACATCTTAGGGCCCTTCCACAGGAAAGGAAACTGAGTTTCAGGAGGTCGAGAGGTGAGCTGCCCCAGGTCTCCCAGCTGATTGGGGAGCAGTTTCTATTTCACCGGAGACACTGTGTTTCACCAGATTTTCTCTCTCCGTTCCCACCAAATTGTATCCATCTTTCCCAGAAGTGTCTGTGGCCTGAAACAATTTTAAGAGCAGACAGGGCTATTTACTTTTAAGCAGCTAAATCCATCATTATGACTCTGGATTCAGCTTATTGAAATATGGTGGAACGACCCACTATACTCTGTCTTTTTAAAAAGATTTTATTTATTTATTTTTAGAGATGGGGAAGTGAGGGAGGAAGAAAGGGAGAGAAACATCAACGTGTGGTTGCCTCTCATGCGCCCCCTACTGGGGACCTGGCCCACAACCCAGGTGTGTGCCCTGACTGGGAATCCAACAGTGACCTTTTGGTTCACAGGTCGGCACTCAGTCCACTGAGCCACACCAGCCAGGGCTACTTTTTTAATATACATTTTTAAAATCAAGCTTTCACAGACATACAGAAAAGTACACAGATAAGTGTTCAGATTAATGGCTTTTTGTACTGAACACACCTACATCACCACCCCCAGATCAAGAAATGGAAACCCACTTATAGTTTCATTCTTAAGGTTCTTGTGTGTGTTTTTGCCAGTATGAACCTCCGGTTAGAAGTCTCTTATTACCGACCTGTCCTAATAGTTGTCTCATCCAACTCTGTCGCAGCAATATTTGAGGGTCCCTCAGTTGATGGGTAGTTAGAAGTCTGCCGATGAATGAGTTAGACACTGATAAGCCCTGTTTTCAGGTGGTCCAGCACGTCAGAGGGGGCCTTCAGATACCCCCAAGGAAGAGGGAGCAATAACTCCTGAGGGTGTAAGAGCAGGAGAGTCAGGGAGTCGTACAGCTCATCCCCTGAGTGGGGCTCAGGGAGGCCGGAGAAGCCGCCCACAGCCTCCCAGTAAGGAAGCAGCTGCACACTCACACCAGTGACGTGCTGCTACCTGAGAAGTCCCCATTGAGATGGATCCTCACCAGGGAGGAGGCCATTGGCAAGACGGCCTGCACAGGGCCTGTGAGGTCACCGCCCATGGCCACCACTCACAAATGCTGCCACCAGCTCTAGGGTGTGGGGCCCTATACCCCAGATGCCCTTCCTCACCCATTTGCTCTCAAGTGGGTCCCTGGCAAAGAGACAACCCTGTTCGGCCGTCAGGGCCTGCTGGGAAAGCTGCTGGGTAAAAGTAAACCCTGTCTGCGGCCAGACGGTGGTGTGAGCGAGGATCCCACTCCGCCCAGTCTCTGTTCGCCTCAGCCGAGGCACTGAGCCAGCTGTGCCACTTACCAAACCAGTCGCCACACCCCAGGCACGTTCTGACCCTAACAATCTGCCAGGCTTGTGACATTCAGCCCTATCGTCGCTAGGAGAGCCTTGGTAAATGGTGTAACACTTCTTAATGACAGTGTTTGTCCAGCAGCTCCTATGGGCTGGATCGGCGCTAAGTGCCACACACGTATCTCCTTTATTCCCCTTCGTAGCTCCTGGGAAAGGTGCCTCTGTTACCCCCATTCTCCAGATAAAGGGTCTGAGGCTCACAGAAGCAAAAGAGCTGCTCGGGTCACACCACCACTTAAATGTGGGGGCCACATTCAAAGTAGGGGAGAGTGTGTCTAAGCTACACCGCCTGGCTGCTGATTATGACCCGTCAGTCATTCAGTAGGTACATATTGAGTCTGCAGTGTGTCAGGCATTGTTCGGGTGCTGGGGAGACGGCTCTGAGCTAACAGGTGAAGCCCGAGCCCTCACAGAGCTGGCCATTCTTGACCAGATTCCTTTGAGGAAGAATTATCTTAAAAATTTGTATTTCAGGAACTTTTAGAGAAAAGCCTTTTTCTTAAATTCCGCCCCTAGCTTCCTCTTCATCTTCGAAGGCCCCCAAAGCCCTCCAAGTCCCCCCTTAGGGAGATGATAGCTGAGAGCCAGGCGTACCTGAGCCTCTGTGTAGCCCTTGCCCTGTGAAGAAGGAACTCACTTAGCAGTCCGGTCCCTTAAGGACCCTGCCCCGTTCTCGCATCTCCCCCAGCCTTGCATCCTCCCAGCCTCACGCCCTGCAGTCTCTCCCTGTCTCCGTGCCAGCCCTACCAGTCAGGGAGGGCAGGTGTGGGCCCAGCAGCTCCCGTGCTGAAGGACCCAATCTCAGTCCTGGCACACCTTGTCGGGGCCAGCTGACAGCACTCATGCCAGCCTGACAAGTGGGGGGGACGGGCATACAGGCATCCCGCTCCCTTGGCCCTGCCACCCCCACGTGGCCTTGTGGCTGGTATTCTCGACATCACACACAAAGAGCCCGGGTGCTGCTGCTGGCACTCAGCTGCTGGAGTGGGGAGGGCCGGCCGTGGTGAAAAGCTTTTCTGAAAGGCCAGGGTGGAGGCAGGAGTCACCCAGGTGATCCAAGCCGGTCCCCGGGGACCCCAGCCCAGGACCACAGTGAAAGGTTACTGCTAATTGGTGAGCTCCTGATGGGGCCGCATCTATTTAGCACTCCCCCCTCCCCAGAGACTTCCAGGATGGTCTTGGCACAGCGTGTGATTTGAGAGCTCCCGCCTGAGTCTGGCACAATCTGTCTGAAATTGTGAGCGTGGAGCCTCCTGGTTTTTTAATTTGTATTTGTGTTGTTGTCGTTCCTGCCCATTGTTTCCAGTAGGTTTAGTAGCAGCAGCCACCCTGACTCTGGTACCTCCCTGGGGCCCCTCTCAGTGGGCTCCTTCTCCCCAGCCCCTCCCCCCACCTACCATCAGAGACCTTGCAGGAGTCAGGGGACAGCGCTGTCCTGCCCCGACCCACCTCTCGGCCTCAGGGCCCAGCTCTCACCCCGCCATCATCCCTGACACTAACACAGCTTTCCACCCTGTCACAGGGGGCAGATGGCCTGTCGGAGCCGGAGGGCATCTCTCTGAAGCGGGTCGCTGTGGTGGAAGATTTCTTTGACATCATCTACTCGATGCATGTGGAGAGCTCAGCGGAGCCAGGCAAAGCCCCCAAGCACGCTGGGCAGAAGAAAACCTACCGAGCGGTGAGATTTCTGTCCCTTTGCCTCTGCTGGCAGCCCCAGGCCTTGGCAGGAGGCCATGGGCTCCGCACATGTTGGGCGGGGGCGGGGCAGGGAGCTGAGGCGTGATGAAACGGCCTTTGGGGACCCAGGGGGGCACAGGGCAAGGGCATGGCAGCCAGAGAGGGCCCACAGGGCCTGGGGGCGGGTTCTGTGGTCTGCGCACAAAGGAGAAGCAGGTTGAAGGGGGGGGGCAGGAGGGAAGCCCTTCTCTCCCGGTTTCTGCTTCACTCACTTCCTCCCCAGCCCCTGCAGCTTGCACTGGGGCCGTGGGGGGTGGGGGGTGGGAGGCGGCTAGATTATAGTAATCGCAAGGGCAAACGCTTCCATGGCATTTGCTGTGTGCCAGGCCTGTCCTGAATGCTTTCTGTGTGTGAGTTTTTTGATCCCCTGCCGCCCTATGAAGGCAGAACTGGGAGTTCCCCAGGGGAAGTCTGAGGACCTGGTTCCCAGCCTCAAGGAAACCAGTTTGATTTAGGGTGGGGAGTTCTGAGAACAAAACCAACACACAAAAAATGAAAAGTCTCTAAGAGGAGCTTTGAGGGAACCAGAACCTGGGTACCTGGGCGTTCAGCAGAGGCACCTTCAGATACTGCACTAAGCCAGGGGTCTTCATGCAGAACGGGGCATGTAAGCCAGCATTCTGAGCTTTGGGGAGGCAGCGGGTGCAGAGGTGGCCAGGTTGTTAGCACCAGGAGACCTCATACCTGGGGCGGTAGAGAGGACGGTGGCCGGAGCCTGCGGGGTCTGACTGCGTTCTGGTCCCATTGCCCCTTTGACTCCCCCCCCCCCCCCCACAGCCCATGCACAGTGTTGAATCGTCTGTCTGGCACCTACCACTAAGCCAGGACAGCCAAGCACTTTGTGCTCCTGTGAGCCAGACTGCCATCCTGTGACAGACACTGGTCCCGTTTCACAGTTAAGGAAACTGAGACCCAGAGCGTCGAGAGTCTTGTCTAAGGTCACACAGCACCTGAGTGGCAGTGAGCCAGTGTCCTCGTGCCCCCTGTGTGTTGACTTTTCCTTTGCTTTCCTGGAGGACCTTTCTCTCTGTGGCCGGGCTTCCCCACCCCAAATTCCTTGTTCACATAGCCCAGGGCTGCAGTGGAGGTGGCCTGTATAAGCCTGTAGTTTCTACATATGGCCTGATTTTTTAACAAAAATCTAACAGTTTGACGTGTCCTCGTTCTCAGAAGATGGCCTTTGCCCTAAATGTGTCTTAAGGGACCCTTGTGCCAGGGAGGCGAGGGGTCAGCTGAGGGAAGCAGATGATGAGACCACCTGGCCTACCCCTCCTGCTTCTGAGTACACTCGGGAAACGACGAGTGTGAAGGGAGCTCTGAGGGTATTTCCGCCAGTGGGACTTGGGTGAAGGAGGCCGCCCAGGCCGGGCCAGTGTCGATGAGACCCAGCACGTCTGCTCCGCGCCAAGTCTGCCAGTGCCGGACAGGTAGCACGCGCCAGGCTGAGCTCCGCGCTTCCCAAGCGCCAGCTCTCTGGGCCTTTGCACGTATGAAGGTTGTATGTATGAGGCAGGAGCTGGTATCCCCATTTTCTATAAAAGGAAAATGGAACTCAGAGAGATGTATAATATGCCTGAGGTCAGCCAGCTGACATGCAGAGCCAGGCAGCTGGCCCCAGAGCCTGCACCCTGACCACGACATTGCCTGCCTTTCTGCACACCCCTGTGGCCAGCCAGTCAGGCCAATGGCTTGCTCTGTTGTCCAGGTAGATGGGCCTGAGCCAGCCAGACCATGTGATCTTCCTGGTCCCCTTGGCGCCCAGTACCAAGCCTCACCTGCAGGCACTCTCTGGGTATTTATGAAGGCCCGGGGCTGTGGCCTCCATGCTGTGAAGAGGGCAGAGCCAGTCTGGTCCTGGCAGCATTTTGCGTCCCTGGGCCAAGTGGACATCTAGCCCTTTGCTCTGCATTTCCTGGCTTCTTGTCCATATGCCCGCCGCGTGCCCCACTTCCCGCTGCCCAGCCTGGAGCTGGCACATGATTGGCGGTGAGCCAGCTGGGCTGCGCACAGGGCTGGAATTTCAGCAGCAGGGCCAGAGCTGAGTGGAGCAGGCCAGGGCCCTCCCGCCGTGGGTGTGAGGCCAAGGGGGCCGCCGCACCTCCCTCCTCGCCTGTGTGCCTCCTCTCCCTTCCCCCTTTCTCCATCTGTCACCCTTCTCCATGCCACCCTTGTTCTTTCTGGGGTGTGGTACCTGGATGTTTTCGTCTCCCTCTTTACATCTGCTGCCGTGTCTTCAGTCCAAGCCTGGCGCTTTAGCCTCGCTGGTAGACGTGCCCTACCTCATCCGGGCCTGTGGAGTGGGGGCTCCTGAGGAAACTGTGCCAACCGCTGCAGGAGGGCCCAGCCAGGCACCGCAGGGTTTGCGTCGGCTTGGCTGAGCGGCTTAGGGACCTGCCTCTCTGTGTTTGGCCAGACCCGAATCCTGGGACTGCCTCCTCACCTCCAGGGCACCTGGGGCTTTCTGCTCCTTACCAGCCAGGGTGCCTGCAGGAAGCAGGGGACTGGACAGGAGATGGGTGAGCTTGCCCAGGGCATTAAAGGAGGCACATTCTTCAATGGGAAAAAAGAACTTTCTAGCATCTGCCGCTCTTCAGCAGTGGATCAGGATCAGGTAGCGAGCTTTCTGAAGCTGGAGATATGTGAGCAAAGGGCAGATGGCCATTTACAGTGGCTAATGCAAGGGGAGTCCCACCTCGGATAGGGAACCTCTGCCTTACTTTTTGCCTCTTTTGCAGGGTGACGTGGGGGCCAGAGGGTTCCAGGAGGGCTTGCCAATGCCAGGGTCTGGGAAGGGTTCTGAGTGGTTCTGCAAAGTTCCCAGAACCTACACTGAGGACAGGTCCTTTTTCAAGGGGATTTTCTGGTGTCTGCACCCATCGGAGTCAGAGGGAGCCATTTGCTCCCTCCCTCACTCCCAGGGTGCTATAGACGAGATCGGGTTCCGGAGTCCGGATCTAGATGCCCAGACCACTTTGGAGTTGGGGCCAGATGTGGTCAGTAGCTACTCCAGGCCCACCACGTGCTAATCCACCCACAGGGCAGAAGGAGGATCTTGTAAAGTGGTGTAAATCCCCCCGATTGGCCTCATCTGTCTTTGTCGGCCTCTGAGTTGGGGAGCGAAATGGAGCCTCACAAGTCAGCGACTCTGCAAATAGCTTCTGTTCTTCCTGCCAGCAAAATCTCTCCCTGTTTGTACCAGTAGGAAAAACACGAAAGGTGAATTCCCAGATGAGTCCCAGGGCCCAGGCAGGAGGCTGCCCAGGGCGGCGGAGGGGAGCTGGGCGCAGAGGGGAGCTGGAGCTTCCCCACTGTAAACACGGTGGCTCTGTCTTTATCTGTTTCGTGTTTGGGCTTCAGCATAGGAGTCTATTTCCAGAACAGTGCTTGTAGCTCTGAAACTATCAGAAAACCACCATCCCACTGACTAGAGCATCAGCCGGAATTGTCCTCATTTCAACTCAACCTGTGGTCCCGTGGCCTTGTGCACTGTACGGTCCAGTGGAAGTTCCACCTCTCACGTGGAGAGGCCAGGAGGGTAAACCAAAAGATGCCCGCAAAAGGTTGCAAGCCCAGTGGGGGAGGCCTCCCCTCCGTGCGTGTCCCTGTGGCAGTGCAGCACTGGCGGATGCCCCACGGAGCTCTCAGCAAGGCTGCAGACATTGCAGGGCACAGCTTCCCTCCCTGGTCTTTATACAGCTCTCAGGACTTCTAACCGATCTGCCTTTGGTCCACCCTTCCCATCTTGCTGTAGAACTCGCTGGGCCACAGGGCATGGGCCCGGCACTCCCCCCAGTGTGGTACTCTAGCCAGCCTGTGCGAGGCCAGGAGACTGGGGCCACGGTTTGGGCCCTGGTCAGAGCCCTCCCTGAGAACAATTCCTGTACCCTCAGTGGGCCAGTGGGCAGCCCTCCGCTGAACGGCCAGGCCGGGAAGACCCTCCCTGAGCCCTATAAAAATGGTTTCTCTCTCCAGTGGCAGGTGAGCTCCATGTACAGAAGTAAGGCTATCCCTATGGTGTGAATCTCCCTTCCTTTTCCCAGTGGACAGTGACCCCCTCCCCAAGTCCTCTGCTTAGCAGTTCCGAGGCCTGACCAGGAATGCCATGCCTCTCGGTACCTGTGAGGTCATCTGTTGGCCCCAGTTAGCCATAGTCCTTCCTTTGACCAGCAGACACGCTCTCCCTTGCCCGTTTACTCCTACAGCCATTAGCCCTTCCCCAAGGCCCATCCCTCCCCACCCTGCAGGCCCCCGAGGGTGTTCTTCCCCTCTGTCTTCCAGGAAGCTCTGGGCTGGGATGAAGAATGCATGTGGGTGGCAGGAAAGCCCTCACCCCTCAGCCCTTACGGCCCAGGAGGACTGGTACATCACTGCCCATCACCTTCCCACCACCCACCGGTTCTAAGCAGGGCCCAGGGTTTTACCCTCGTCCTTGACCTCCAAAGGAAGGCAGGGAATTTGGAAGGGAGATAACTCATCAAGGAGCCTGCCTGTTCCGCAGAGGACCACATCAGCTGAGAAGTAACAACTGTGTCACCAAAATTAACCGCGACTGCAGCGGGCCACCAGGCAGGAGTGGCCCCTGGAGCTCCACAGGCCCGTTGAGCTGGGAGTGCAGCTTGAGCTGGTCCTCTGGGGGCCTGCGGTGCCCCAAGCCTCCCATATCCCCACTCCAACCCCACTCACTCCCCCCTACCCTACCCAGCCCCCTGGCCACCACGGAGGTGGAGCACAGCGCCTGTGCATCCCTGAGGAGCCACTGGGCCAACTTTCCCAGCTGGGCTGCGGCGAGGACCGTGGAATGCTGGAGTGATGCTGCCCCTTAGTGGAGAGGAGTGGGAGGGCCCGGGCTCTGGGAAAGGTGCAAAAACCAGCTGCTGGACAGCTATTGGCCTCAGCCAGGGATCCCGGGCCTAAGGAGTCCCTCTGGGCCCTTCAGGCAGAAAAACCAGGGCCAGTGGGTTCCTCAAAAGTCAGACCAAGCCCTGGATGGTGTAGCTCAGTGGATGGAGCTCGAGCCTGCGAACCAGAGGATCGCAGTTGGATTCCCAGTCAGGGCACATGCCTGGGTTGCAGGCCAGTTCCCGGCAGGGGACACATGAGAGGCAACCATACATTGATGTTTCTTTCCCTCTCTCCTTTCCTTCCCCTCTAAAGATAAATAAATAAAATTTTTTTAAAAAAGTCAGAGCAAGAGGAAAGGGCTGGGCTTCAGGACCCATTGCCCACCTGTCCCCTCCCTCCCCCAGCCTCTTTCTTGTGTTCCCTGCCATGCCCCCTTTCTCTTCTCCCTAGCTAGGGGAGGCCCTCTGGAAGCAGGTATAGGGCGGTGTGACCTGGAACATGGGCTCTAGTCTGGCACGGCCTCTAAAGAGCTGTGTGACCTTGGGCAAACACGTTCACCTCTCTGGGCCAGGTTAGGACCTAACCTGGAACACGGGGGTCCTGAGGGCCTGTCCAATTTGAAAAATCTGATCCCTTGGCATCAGCCTTTCACAGCTCTTCCTAAAAAGGTTCTTTATCTGTGAATTATTGCAGGAAACAGTTCCTAGAGCCTTTAGTTCTGTCTCTAGACCCAGAGCCTGTGGATAGATAAGCGGGTCTCAGTTTATCCATCTCTAGGAGGGAAAACTGTTTCATCCTTCCATAGAGCAATATTTATTAAGCTCGTTTTTCAGTAACAACAAGAAAATGTTCTGAGAGGAATATTATTTATTAGAATATAGGTTAAAAACTAATGTTTAAATGCTTTGTTTTTTTAATTTTTAAGCTCCTTTAATCAAATTTTTAAAACAAATGGCTTTCTACAAAAGTATTGACTCATCTCCATGGCCAAGAATTGAAGACACCTGCCCCTTGCTTCTCAAATTCCTGCCCATCCTAGCAAAGGCCAAGTGCCTGCCACCAAAGCGCAGCCCACCCCTCCCCCCCTGCCCCGTGACCCACTGACTAAGCCGCCCCTCCCCCAGGGAGCTGTATGACAAGCACCCTCCTCTCCCCCTCAGATTGCGGAGACCTACGCCTTCCTTCCACGAGAGGCTGTGACCCGGTTCCTGATGAGCTGCACCGAGTGTCAGAAGAGGATGCACTTTAACTCCAACGGCCTGGAGCCCAAAGGTAGGGGGAAGGTGGGCGCACTGGAGGCTCGCATGCGGGGGGGAGTGGGGAGCTGTGCAGAGGGAGGCTCTCCCAGCAGAAAGACCTACCCTTTGCAGGCACAGGCAGAGAAGCGCATGCCCAGCTATTGTCCCGATTCCCAGAGGCCAGTGTGGGTCCATGGGGCTGTCCAGAGAGCCTCATTTTGTCTTGTTTTTAAACCAACAGCACATTCCTACTTCACTCCAAGGCCCAGGCCACATCCTGTTCTCCCACCGAGGTTCTGGAGAGAAGCGTCCACCTCGCCCCATTCCCTAAGCTCTATAGTTCTTGCCACCCAGGTCTTGCCCTCAGTGGAGTTCCCATGGGTTTGGTCTTGCTGAGCCCTAACGTGGCTCTCATATGCCAGGAGCACAGCCCTCAAAGCGTCAAAGCACACACCCCCCTACTCTGTAGCCACATACCTGCCAGTAGTGGGTCCTCCCTAAGGGTCTGTCCCTCTCTGTGCACAAATTGGAAATCTGGACGGTGGGGCGTGAGGATGTAAAATGCCAAAAGCACTTGTGACCGGCCAAAGTTGGTCCCTTGGACTGACTCTCCATGCTCTCCAGCCCTGCGCTTCACAGTGAGAGGCAGCGAAGGCCCCCACTTCAGTCCCCCTATGCGTGGAAGCTGAACGTCCCAGAGGCCTCCAGGAAATATCGGGCCCACCTGTTCACAGGTGGCTTTGGCACAGTGAGATGGGCTGGTGCATTTGACTGGGGTGATGTAACTCTGTCCTGAGAAACGGTGCCCACGTGGGTGATCTGTCAGGGCTTCTAGGCTGCTCCTGCAAGGGTTGCTGAAGTCCATGGGTGTTTTACCCAAGGATGGAAATAGACTCGGAATGAAGGGTGAGCCTTTTACTCAGGTGGCACCCTCCAAATCCGGGGAGGGGAAAATCAGCAAGGAAGCCTGAGTGGGTGACCACAGAGGAACTGGAGCTCGGGAGCGGGGTGCGATTTCCTCTCATTTTGGTTGTCCCTCATGCCCACGAGCAACTTTCGACACCAGCCACCTCATCAGATCCAGAGGCTTTCCTGCCCGTGGGGGCCATTAGGCCTCGGCTGCTTCATCAGGTACATCAGAGAGTTTCTAAAGCTCGAGGGACAGAACAGATCTAGCTATTCCCTTAAGTGCTGGATTCCTGGGTTAGGAGCAGGGTCTCTAGGGCCACACTGGATGAGTTCAAATCCTAGCTCTGCAGCGCAGTGGATATGTGTCCTGAACAAGCGACTCATGTCTCTGAGTCTAAGTCTCCTCATCTGTGAACTGGGGTTAACAGCTGTAGCTACCTCAGCTACCTCTGGGGCTGATGAGGTTTGAGAGTTAGTCCCTGTACCTGGCCCAGGGCAACCATGCAGGAGGGGCGACCGGTGGCTGTGGCAGTTATTGAGGGAACGCTGGACACTAGAGTGAGGCTCCTGCCCCTTGTGGCCTGGCCCTGGCAGACCAGCTGCAACCCCTGGGCCAAGACGGCATTTGTTACCCACAGATGGGCCAGGAGTGCTTTCCCTGCTGCGTTTTCCAGCCTGCCTGGGTCTGGGTCCCAGGGGTGCCCACCCATCCACCTTTGCCCTCCTGTTCTGTCCTAATCGTTTCCATAGCAGCTGGGGTAGCCAGACACAGAATCTGTTCACCTGGGAGAACAGAGGCAAGGCCAGGGAGAACCGTGTTTGTAGGCTGCTCTGGGGCGTCTGCGGGCTCCATCCGTGCTGCTCCCTCGCTCCCTGCTGGCCGGGAGGGAGCACTCACCTCCCCCACTCCCCCGGGAGGGCCGGGAGGGCTCCGGGACTGCAGTGACACTCTTCCTCTTCACGCACTTCTGCGTGGCCGGGAGGGTGATGCCAGCACAGCAGCAGCCTGTTTCTCTCCTGTTTCTTCTTGCTGCCACCACCCCAGGGTAGAAGGAGGGAGGGGGAAGACAGGAGGGAGGGGGAGAGGGAGAGAGCGCAGCCTGGAAGGAGCTGCCTAGAATACAAACCAGCTCTGTGGGCTCTGGGCTGGAGCCTCTCTTTCCAGGGGCTCGCTCCAGGCAGGACAGAGGGCAGACAGCGCGAGGCCGTGCCTTGCCTACCTTTGCGTGTCCCTGGGTGGAATGCCACTTCTTTGTCCTCAGGAGCTGAGCTTTCCACACAAGGAACAGGGGAGACACTGAGGGAGCAGGAGACAGCGTGGCTGCTGGAAGCTCAGGCGGGCCTGGGTGTGCCACCCTGTTCACCCCTGTATGTCCCTCAGCACGTTAGAGGACCTCTCTGAACCTCACCTGCTTGTAACAGCTCTCAGGAGCCCGTGAGGTCTCTGTCCTGGTTTACAGCCGAGGAAACGAGGCACAGAGGGGTATTGTGGGGAAATCGCTTGTGCAGTTCTCCAGAAGGCAATAGAATTTGTGTTCTCATCAGTAAAATGGGAATGACACCTTCTTCTGGGGGCTGTTGTGAAGGTGCATTTGGATAAACAACCATGTTCTGTGGGTTGCCTTGGTGCAGAGGGAACGTGAGCCAGTACCCCATGTGGCTATACACTGAGCCCAGACACAAGGCTGCCAATATCCAGGTGGCCCCGTGGGGAGACACACAGTCACCCCACCCAGGTGACCACCCTGGGTCCATGACCCGGACGCTGGGCAAAGGGAAGAGTTTGGTTTCTGGCAGCTGCCCGTGGAGAGCCTTAGAATCTGAAAGCCTTGCCTGTCTGCTTAATGGCCAGAGGCTCTGGCTGCCTGGACCACCCTCGCCAGCTGGCAGGTTCTCCCTTCTCCTGCCCCCGCTGAGAGCCTGGATATCCTATCTCTGCCGGCCATGCTGCCTCTCTGGATGTGGTCAGCTGTACCTACCCCTCTTTCATGAGCACCCCTGCCACACGAGCCCTCCCTGATCTCTCTCCCACACCCCACCCACCCACAGGAAAATCAGAGCCTGCATCTGGCCTCAGAGGCAGGCCCTGTGTTCCTGTCCCAGGAAGGTGGGGCAGGAGGGGGACAGGGAACAGGATGGAGACTTCTCGAGGGGCTTCTGGGAGAGCGCCTCCCTTCCTGGCCGAGTGTTAAAAAGAAAGAAAGGAAGCAAAGCAGCCTGCCCTGCTCAGCGGTTTGTCCCCGGCAGAGTGTGGGGCCCTGGACAGTCCCAGGCCCTCCCCCAGCGCCAGGAGCACAAACAAAGGAGGCTGCTGAGGATCAGGAAGTCCGAGGATGGGAAATTCCAGGGCCTCCTGCCTCCACGCTCTTCTTCCACCAGCCCCTGAGCAAGTCCAGGTGCAAACAGAAAATTAAAAAACCGGTGGGTCTTCAGACCAGCCCTGGCTCCTGGGGAGAGGGGCCTCCAGAGGCACATTTCTGTTTTCTCTGATGTGACAAAATATCATTTGTTTGGCTGCAAACCAGGAGTTAGCAGTGGGCAGTGCCGGTTACCTATAGAAAGATTCCTTCCTCCGTGACAGAGTCATCCGCTTAGGTGGAGGCTGCTTTGCAACCAGGCACACACGCCTCTGTGTGGTTTCCAGCCCCCTCATGTTTGACTCCTCCAGATCCCCCTCTTCCAGCCCATTCTTTTGCCCTGCAGAGGCTTCACGCTGGCCGGCCCACTGGCCTGGCCTCTCCCGGCTCTCATCTTCACTGGCTGGGTGGCGTGTGAGGTTGCCTCGCCTCTCTGCGTGCTGTTGAATCCTCTGTAAGAGGGGATGTGAATACTAGCGCCCAGCACGTGGAATTCCTGGAAGCACGAAGCAGAAGGGTCTGAGTGGAGCTCCTGGCGAGTGCTCAGTAGCTGTCAGCTGAGTGACTGAACACAAGTCCTGCTCAGATCCTCTCTCTCTCCACGGGGCTGCCGTGGGTTCCCCCTCCTCTGAGCTCTACTGGACTCGCCAGCAGTCCCAGCCTGCTGAGCACGGGGACCGCACCTACAGGGCTCCCCCGCCTTCCCCACCCTGAATGCACACACGTCAGTGCTCCCTGAAGACTTCCCGATCCCCCGATTTACTTCCCTCCTAAAGAGGTTGTTTTCATCACCATCTGAGCTGGCCCCAGGCCCCGATCTCTATTTCCGAATCTGAGACCCACGACAGGCTGGCTGGTCTCAGGGCTCCTCTGTGCCAGGCCTTGGTCTCACTCATGTCCTTCACACCGGCTCTGCCTGGGACAGCTCTTGCCACTGGCACGCAGAGCCAAGGGGCTCCTCCGTTCTGCAGGTGAAGCTCATGAGAACTGCCACCTCGAATTCCATCTGGAGGAATGGAGGCCACTACTTCCGTTGAGATTTGCACTGATTAATGAGTGCCATTGGAGCCCAGCTGTGGAGGTCAGCCCTCGGCTCAGCCTGTGCGGCTTGGCCTGGGTAAACCCTCTGCGTCACTGATTATTTTCAAGGTCTGTGAAACTAGGCCTTGCGCTTGGGCTCGTTTCAATTTTCCTTGGCAGGGAGGCGCTGAGACATTTCTTCGGGTGGTTCCTCTGCCTCTCTCACCAGCAGCCTGCCTGATTATTTCAGCTCCGTGACCCTTGCCAGCTCCTACCTCAGCAGAGGTATCGGGTTAGTGGTGGTGGCTCGAGCACGGCCACCGCGTGTGCTGACCGCAGCAGGGGCCTGCCCTCCCAGCAAAGCCTGGGAAAGCCACCTCTCCTCGTTCGAGTGTCCATCTCAGCACCTCTCCAGCCTGGCATTTAGCCCACCTGTGGGCGCCTGACTCCTGCACGGAGCTGCCACCGGCCCCCACTCTTTATCTCTTTCCCACTAAGCCGATCCTCTCCGTGTGCAGCATTTATCACCTCCGGAGGTGCAGGGCTCCCCACCGCCAGAAATACCTGCCTGCCTTTCTCTTTGGGCCGAGTTCTGACCTCCCGCAGCCAGCTGTCTGGCACATTCCCTCGCCTGGAATGTCCCCTGCCCACCAAGGTCCTGCCTGCCCAGCAGAAGTCTCACTTCGGGAACTGCAGATGCGAGCACATCTCTGCACACCCGCCCTGCCCCCCAGAGATGTGTGTGTGTGTGTGTGTGTGCGTGTGTGTGTGCACGCGCGTGCGCTTCAGGATGCCCCAGCTTTCCCGGACAAGGGCTCCTGCCTCTGCTTCTTGAGCCCTGCTGGCTCACTGCTGAGCACCAGGAGCAGCTGGTCTGATCTGTGGACACGCCATGGAGGGGACGGAACAAGGAAGACCCCTTCCCCCACCCAAGAGTGCCATGTCAGCCATTTGTGTTGTTGTCCTACACCAAGCCCTACTTGGCTTTATTAAAGAGACTTTCTCATAGTGGCTGTGGCATTTCAGGCAGGACACAGGTGCTCTCAGGAAAAGGACCCAGCGCCCAGCTTTCACGGATGACCACACATTGAGTCGCCAGGACATCAGGGAAGTCTTCACTTGTGGCTCTGACTGGGAACCCTGGGGCAAGAGGGTCCCTTCTCACACACCATGTTGTCTAACAGCTTTTTGCCAGAAACCCCATCTTTGAGGAAATGAAATGGAAACGGCGGAATCCTCCATCTGAAGGCCCGTGATCTGAAAACAGGAACCGTGGCTGCTTTGAGCAGCACCATCTCGCCATCGTTGCTGCTGTGCCTGCCTCACATGCTGCACCCAACCCCGTTGGTTTTGGAGGGCAAGGTTCCAGAATGTACCTGGGCTTAAGGAGGCCACGTCTGGGTTGAGGGAGGGGCAGCAGGAAGAGGTTGCAAGGACACTGGAACACACTCCAGCTTCCCCACAGCATTGGGTGTCTGTGCACTTGTGTCACAGGACCCTTCTGCCACCAAAGCAAGAGGGATTCTTAGAGGAAAAAACAGTTTGGTCCATTTCAAGCCGGTTTCTGAGACATTCTATATTGGTGACATTTACCTCTTCCTCAAGAACAGAAACCTTCCTAAAAGAAGACAGAAATTTTTCATGTGACAGCACTGTTTTAAAAAGCTAAACAAAGTCTGCATTTCTATGAATTTGATAAGAAATGCTGTTTAGGCTGGGCAGTCACCAGGTGCATGCCGCCTCCAAATGGCGCCTCCGTCCCCTGCGGAGGGCCCCGTTCTCTGCGGGGCCGTTTCTCTCCTGGCCAAGAAGGACCTCCCCTTCTCCCCTTGAGGTGGCTTTCTCCCTCTCGTTTGCAGGGGGCTTTTTTCCTTATTCTGGTAAACTATTTATAATGTAAAACTTGCCAGTTTAATAATTTTAGGTGGACAGTTTAGTGGCTTTGTGTTCATGTCGCTGAGCAGCCATCACCACGATCTATTTCCAAAACGTGTCCCTCCCCCAGACAGAAAGCATGTGCCCAGGAAGCGGTTCCCATCCCCACTCCCCACCCCTGGCAGCGCTACTCTACTTCCTTTCTCTGTGAGTGGGTTTGTTCCAGGTATTCTACTTACCGTATTTTTTGGATTGTAAGACGCACTTTTTTTTAAAGACATTTTTTGCTTCAAAATTCCACCCCCCCCCCAATTTTCCTCCTCTAAAACTTAAGGTGTGTCTGGGGTCTGCACCATAAGACCCACCTAGGTTTTAGAGGAGGAAAATAGGAGAAAAAAATTTGAAGTAAAAAGTGTAGTAAAAAAGTGTGTCTTATAGTCCAAAAAGTACGGTAAGTGGAATCACAGAGTATTCGTTCTTCTGTGTCTGGCTTCTTTCACTCAGCACAGAGTTTTCAAGGTTGCAAGGCCTTTCCAGGTGGGCTCCAGCGCTTGAGCAGCAGGTTTTAGCAAATCGCCTCAGGCATCCTCTGCATTCCTCCCCCTTGGCTCTGTCGCTTGCTTTCCCCTCAGCCTATCTCTCGGACCCTGGATGACAGTGGCAGGCCGGCTTTGGCTCGGCCAGGAGTCACTTACACACTCAAGTCCCAGCTCAGGAACTCATGAACAGAACTAGGCACCAGGGAGAACTTTGGCTCGAAAGCCAGAGTACAGATAACCAAGACTGTTTCCCGGCGGGGGGGGGGGGGGGGGGGGGGCGCGAAGCAGGGTCAAGTGACTGCCTGACTGAAGGAGCTGGGCCCCAGCAGGAGGCTGCAGGGTTTCAAGCTGGTCATTGCAGAAGACCCCCAAAGGGGGAGTTGGACCAGGGAGAAGTGACAGGCTCCCTTTCAGCTTGCTGCCCGTCTTCCTTGACTCACTCCTGGGCCACTTCCACCTGCCCTGCACACCACCCACAGCGGTGCTTAGGTGCAGAACCATTGGCTGGGCAGTGTCCTTGCGGGAGGCAGCTTGGCCAGAGATCCTAAGAGTTACCGAATATTCCTACCCTTCGACCCATGAATTCCATTTCTTGGAATCTGTTCTAAAAAGGAAATGATCAGAAATTTGGACCAATATCCACACACAAATATGTTCCTTGCAGTGTTGTTTATAATTGCCAACAATAGGAAACAGCATAAACAGCCATTCATAAGGAAATGACTTCAGTAAACTATGATAAAACAGGACATGGCTATAAAAATTATATTTGAAAAGCAGAACAAGATTTTTGGTGGCGAAGGAAATGCCTATGACAAAACGTTAAGCCAAAAAAAATTTTTTAAGCAGAGTCCAATTTTCTGTGTGGTATTATGATATCAAGGACATAAAGAAGAGAAATCACAGGGAAAAAATAAACAGAAGCATATGCCAAGCTGCTTAGTGCAATTACGTTTTTTTATTTTTCTTTACATCTTTCCACGCTTTGCAAATGCTCTACAAAAAAGAACACACATTACTTTGATCTTCAGGACAGCAAAGCAATAAATGGGAAGAACAATGTTCCATGTGATGAAGGAGAAACCCGAATTTTGGGGGTGGGGGCCCAGAGCTGTAAGCCATATGGTACCTGGGGTTGCTTTTGGGGGGATGCTGTGGGGGTAGGGGATGGGCGGGTGGCAGTGGCATGTGTGCACCAGGAAGAAAGTTGCCTTAGGTAAGGGCTGGAAACGTAAATGCCTTCAAGGTCCTGGCCAATATCAGAACTGAGTGAAGATGTACAGAACAATAGGGAGTGGTGGGGACTACAGCAAAACAGAGAGCTCACACCCTGTCTGAAAGAAGGGGCTGCTGCACAGTGACAGTGGTCCTTTGCCATGTGGGATTATGGGCCCTGTGTGGCCAGACCTTCCGTTCTTTAAATGTGAACTCTCATATTAAGCACTGGCACCTAACAGACATATTTTCAGCTCCGTGCAGTCCACATCTATGGGCCAGACATGGTGGGCGAGCTGCCCATTTGTGGCCTCTGGCCTGTTCTTTCCTCCTCGCAGGCTCTGGTGAGTTCTCCAGTGGGTGACAGGCTGTGCCACCCCACTGGTGGCCCGAAGCACAGACTGAAAGGGATTCCTTTTGTTCTTTCTGCCAGAAAACGAGCCTCCCTCTCCTCTGGTGTCCGGGATTATTGATTACAACATGCCCCTCACCTCCACGTACCTGAAGCAGATGAAGTTGCGTGTGATGAATTCCCAGGAGCAGGTAAGGCGTCCGTCCCCCCTCACCCCACCTGGAGGTGTCCCAACCTGCCTGGATGTGGTTGATCCTTCCCAAGATGTGGGGCCACAGCCTGTGTAAACACGAAATCAAAGAGGCCCTTATCTGGTTATCTGGGCCGTGCAGTCTGGGCTGAGAGGGGAGGGAAAGAATGTGTTTCTAGTTAAAGGGTCTGCTGGGCAGACAGCCCCGCTGGGTCTTCAGTGAAACCCAGGGAGCTCAGCCTTCACAGAACTTTCCCCAAGGGCAGGGACCAGGGAGGGGGAGGGTAGGAGCCGCAGACCTTGGCTGCTGGGTGGTTCTGCCTCTGCTCTGCCCTTTGTCTGCTACGTCACTCACCTCCTGTCCCCAGGGAGAGGAAAGAGGTGGGGCCTGGCTGCCAGCCTTGGCCTCTGTCACTCCTGGGGCCCAGACAGGCCAGGAGGATGGGTGTTGGCGGGTGGCCCGAGTAAGATAAGGCCTCTGGCTGTCCAGGACTCCCCAGCTGTGCATTGCCAAGGGTTGTCAGGCACCACCGTGGAAACAGGCTATTAAAAGAAAACCACTCTGCCTGCCTCCCCACAGTCCACCCTGTAGCCCTTTGCAAAGCAAGTAGCCTGACTGTCTTTCAAAGGAGGACGAGTGAGTGCCGCTGCCTCCTTCCTCCACCGCTGCCTCAAACCAGGGCAGCAGCCTCGCACTTCCGGCTCCAAGCGTTCTCATTGGCTGTGACACCCGAGCCCACTGCGTCCCTGTGGCCTGACCAGGGGAATGGGTTCTGCCCCTGAAGGTCTGACTTCTAACCCTGGGTGTGTGCTGTGTCGCTTACCACTGGTCTCCTTGACAACCCAAGCATGTGTTGCCATAGTGGGGGGGGATGGTGGGGGGGCGATGGCCCCAAGCCAGCTCCAAGGTGATGTTAGCAGGGTGTGTTCAGGTAGTGTCTGGGGCTGCGGCGCCCAGCCCGAAGGTTTGAGCTGGTTGGCGTGAACATACTGAGTTTACACTCCACTAAGGAGGAGGGACGGCAGGCCCATGACCAGCCCCTGAAGGTTTCGTGAAGTAAGCCTTGCTCTGGGTAGCAGTGCTTTCTTGTGTCTCTGTGCCTCTGGCATTTGCTGTCCCGAGAGTGTCTGTTCTGTGATGGCTGCATCCCTAAGAAACTTCAAGTAATCAAAGCTGATGTGGCAAAGTTGTTTCTGGGCTGGCCTGTGAGCAGCAGGAAGGGTGGTGGCAGGTACGGAGTCCCACCAGCGGGAGCAGGCTCAGCGTTGAGCAGGCTCAGCGGGAGAGCTCCTCTGGCCACCGCCACAGAGGGGCTCCCGGCCTTCTCTGTCGCCATTCACACTGTCGCAGGGGCCTGGCCTCTCACACCGTCTCATTACCGTTCTGGCCCGTCACCATCAGTTACATCACGGTCACCATGAGGAGTGAAACACAGAGCCTCTGGGACCGCCCCTTGTTTTCTACGAAACTGCGTTAGATCCCGAGCCCACAGTGGCGGCACAGCCCACCCGAGATCCCTCAGGTCCGGGGGGTTTACTGCTTGGTGCATTAGCAAGGATGTGGGTACTCCACAGATACTTACGGAGCCCTGCTCTGTGAGCGGGGGATGAGTGAAGAGAGCACAGAAGTACCCAGCTCACAGCAGACAGACATAGACAATCGAGGGGGAGGCTCGTCAGCCGTCGCGGTGCCGCTGTGACAGACGCCACACAGTAGGGCACGTGGCGCTGTGAGTGTCCATACCTAGATGTGGGGGGGGCATGGATCGAGGCAGCGGTCAAGGAAGTTTGCCTCTGAAAGGGGTGTTTCAGCTGAGATCAAGGTGTGAAGGGAACAGAGCTCCAGGATGAGGGAACAGCTTATGCAAGGACCCTGTGGCTCGAGGGAAGCAGCGCCCATGAGCATTTGAGAGGCTGCTGTGGCTAATGCAGAAACTGTGAGGACTTCTGCTGCTGAACCAAGGGGAAAGCACAGTGTTAGGCACTCGATGGACAGCTGTGAATGAACTGGAGTTCAAGAGGTTTGGGCTCTACTCCCAAGGGGAGGGAGGATTGTGGGCAAGGGTCTGTCTCCAGGGTGCTCTGAGTCCAGCTGGGGCTGAGGCCAAGACTGGGGCGGCCTGTGCTTCCGGTGGAGCTGACTGTGTCTTCCCTGCCTTCACTCGTGGCTTCCCAGATGGGCCTCTGAAAGCAGCTGACTTTCTCCTGTGCGCAGCAGGAGATCAAAGGGACAGACCCTCCCCGCACACCTGGCAGGAGAAGCAGCACCCTACCTCGTACCAGGGGCCTTTCTTCTGTCCGTCTGCAGCTCTCCATGCGCAGCAGCGGGCTCTCAGGGCCTCACCGGCTCGGCAGCACCAACACGCCTCTTTTGTAGCCAGGCACATGGCAAAACAAAAAATCACATTGCTTGCCAGATTATTAGTCCGCAGCAGCCAGGAAGGGCCAAGGACCCAGAAGTCTTTGATTCTTCAGCTTGTGAAAATACGTATATTTGAATTAGTTGCTTTTTTCCTGTGGCACAGAACAGGGCTCCCCTTGAGGTGGGTGGATGGCCCCCCATTCAAACAGCCTCGAGACTGGCTGAACTGCTGGCAAATCCCGTGTCCCAGGCCAGGTTCTGAAAGTGGTTTCATTCCGTGCTCATGACTCTAACACCTGTGGTGTTTGCAAATCATTCACGCAGGCTGCGTGGAAAACAAGGCAAATCTAAACGCACTGGGGGCCAGGATAAATGATATTTTATTAATTTGAACAAAGTGGGGTGGGTGCTCTTTCAGGCCCATGGAAAAAGAATCCCAATAATTTGGTTTTTTCCAGCATTAGATACCCTAGAGACAAGAAGTAAAGCAAGTGGAACATTTCCCCTCACTTTGCCTTGAGCAGACAGCGAACAGGTGGTTGGGTTTATTTGTGAATCGGACAGAAGCATGTTGCTTGCCCTGGTGCGGTAGCTCAGTTGGTTACAGTAGCATCTCGATACCCCAAGGCTTTGGGTTCAATCCCTGGTCTGGGCACATAGAGGAATCAACCAATGAATGCACACATAGGTGGAAAAACAAATTGATATCTTGCTCTCTCTAAAATCAATCAATTTTTTAAAATCACACTGCTTGTTGCCCAGCATGTCAGGTTAAACTGGCAGAGGGGTTCTTCTGCACGAGGGGATTAGGTAGAATGAAAATCCAACGGTCACAGTCACACAAAGAAGGAAGATTCTTCTCGAAGTCTGATTCACTGTGGCAAAAATTCAGTGCCCTCCGGGTGCATGCATTCCGGGGCCAGACTTGCCCTCGCAGGCCCTCCCTCCTGAGACGCAGACCCCAGGAGCTGCCAGCACGGGGGCCACGTCGAGCTGAAAATAGGAGCGTGCCCTGATAAAATCTTTTTATTTTTTTGTCCTTACCTGGGAAAACTCTCATAAAGATATAAAACTGAGGTCGCACCCAGTTGCACTGAGGATGGATACATTTTCTCGGAGGGGGCAGGGCGGGAAACTTTCAGGAATGAGACCTGCTCCGCACTGGCCTTCTCCCAGAGAGGAGGTTAGGGAGGGAGGCGGGCGGTGCTCACAGGCGGCCCTCCCCCCACCTTGCCACCTTGTGCCCTCACCAGCAGCCCGTCTTTCAAAGCCCTTTCGGGGCTGTGTGCAGGGTACACCCAGAGGAGTGCTGGGTTGGCGGCCACTGGTCGTGTTTTCTCTCTCATTCGGGTTTTTTCCATACTTAAAAAAAAATATAATGACACAAGTAACACACAGCCTGGGTAGGAAAATCGGCACCAGAAAGCAAGAGCGCAGTGATAAAAGTCACAGTCACCCACCACTCAGATTACTGTGACCATCCTTTCCCCAGATTACTGAGCGAAGGGGGTTGTCCTGTTCACACCACTTTAAAATCCACCTTGGGGTTTTTTGGTGATGGTTTTCCAAATTATTCGGAGTCTCTTTGCTCTCTGGGTCCTGATGTTTCCACCTACCAAATAAGCTGGTTGCACACTTTTCCTGCCATTCACTCACTTCTTTGCCCACACCCACCCCTCCGTCCTCCTATCCACCCACTGTGCACCCGAGCCAGGTACCAAGGAGACGGTGGGGAACAGAGTCGAGTCTGCCCTGCCGGCTGGGCTCTCGCAGCTCAGTGAGAGACTGGACACTCGGGTCTGTAGGAAGAGCTTAGGGAGCTGGGACAAGGGGGCGAGCACAGTAGGTGCTGTTTCGGGCAGAGGGGTCATTTACGGGGCACCTGCTCTGTGTCGAGCATGTTACACACTTTGCCCTCCACCCTTACAACTCTGCAGGGTCCTGTCTATTATCCTCATTTAACGCATGCCACAGCTGAGGCTCAAACACGGAGAGCATTGGCTCAAGGTCACACAACCACGAGCATGAATCGAAACTCAGATCTCTCCCATCCTCCAGCCCGTGCACCTGCCGGGGCCCCAGGCCCTGTTTCCCTGCACGCTCCCTGGATGAGGATGTGCTCATCGGGACAGAGCATCGCCCGTGGCGCTGGTGGAGGGGAAACGTCCTTGGCAGAGATGCTTGGCAGAGCTGGCTTTGTTTAGCCTGGGAGCTGGGACCGCCTTAAATATACAACGCCTAAGAAAACATCCAAAGAGGAGTTTGGCACGGGACCGGGGCTGAGGTTAGGAGGTCTCCCCTACCTTATGCAGGCTCACTTATCTGCAGAGGCGCATACGTAATTGGATATCCACATTATGGGTGCAGTTGTCCTGCTCATTCCCCAGACCCCAGTGTTTCAACCCGCTGTAGAAATCAGATCCAGATCCGGAAGGAGAGAGACAAATCATCTGCGTTCCTTCCCAGACACGGACTTTCATTTTATCGCAGCAGAGGCCAAAGCCCCTGGAGGTGCAGCGACTTCCCCAGGGCAGGGCACCCAACCCCGGGCGCGGCTCTTTTTTGGTTCAGCCCCCGCTCCCCCCGGCCTCCAACTCCTTGGTCTGTCCCAGAGTGGGAGGGCTGTCAGCACCTTCCTC